TTCTCGGAAAGCCACTAGCACGCGTAGCGTTTCGGGCAAGTCCTTAAACTAACAGTTAATTTTTAGATAATTAACAGTAAAATTTATAAAAAATGCTTACAGGTACTTTACAGCTTTACATTACAGGTACAGATGATTTTAATTAGAATAATTACAGTAAAATTGGAAAAAAAAATGTTTACAGGTACATTGCAAGATATCTTGACACAATAGCAGATTAGAATAATACACAATAATAACAATACACAATAATGAACAAGGATTACTAGGTATGATTAGGAAAACATCTCAGGGTTATACATTGGATCACTGAAGCACAATATGAGGATCATTACAAGGAATAATGCAGTAGAATATGCTCTCAATACAATAACCATGATATCAGATGATCTAAGATTGCAATGGTAAAGAACATGACTTAGGTACACAGAATGGGGGATTGAGTAGCACTAGAAGCAGTGCGAAGATAAAGCTCTTGGTAGAAGACTATGAAGATGAAATTAGGTATTTTTTAGTTTTATTTTTGAATAAGCCAAAAGTTGGACAGCTTTTCAGTTCATTAGGGAGTGAGTTCCATAAACTAGGTCCCTTTATTTGCATAGTGTTTACACAGATTCAGTTTGACTCTGGGGATATCAAAGAGATATTTATGTCTCACCTATTTGTACTCACCTATTTGTGCTTGCGGGGGTTGAGCTCTGGCTCTTTGGTCCCGCCTCTCAACTGCCAATCAACTGGTACTCACCTAGTTGTGTTTGCGGGGGTTGAGCTCTGGCTCTTTGGTCCCGCCTCTCAACCGTCAATCAACAGGTGTACAGATTCCTGAGCCTATTGGGCTCTATCATATCTACACTTGAAACTGTGTATGGAGTCAGCCTCCACCACATCACTTCCTAATGCATTCCATTTGTCAACCACTCTGACACTAAAAAAGTTCTTTCTAATATCTCTGTGGCTCATTTGGGCACTCAGTTTCCACCTGTGTCCCCTTGTGCGTGTGCCCCTTGTGTTAAATAGCCTGTCTTAATCTACCCTATCAATTCCACTGAGATTCTTGTACGTGGTGATCATATCCCCCCCTAACTCTTCTGTCTTCTAGCGACGTGAGGTTTAATTCCTGTAGTCTCTCCTCGTAACTCATACCTCTCAGCCCGGGTACTAGTCTGGTGGCAAACCTTTGAACTTTTTCCAGTTTGGTCTTATGCGTGACTAGATATGGACTCTATACTGGGGCTGCATACTCGAGGATTGGTCTGACATAGGTGGTATACAAAGTTCTGAACGATTCCTTACACAAGTGTCTAAATGCCGTTCTTATGTCAGCCAACCTGGCATATGCTGCTGATGTTATCCTCTTGATATGGGCTTCAGGGGGCAGGTCTGGCGTGATATCAACCCCCAGATCTTTCTCTCTCTCTGACTCGTGTAGAATTTCATCTCCCAAATGATTCCTTGTAACTGGCCTCCTGCTCCCCTACACCTATCTTCATTACATTACATTTGCTTGGGTTAAACTTTAACAACCAATTGTTCGACCATTCCTTTAGTTTGTCTAGGTCTTCTTGAAGCCTCAAGCAGCCTCCTCTGTCTTAATCCTTCTCATAATTTTGGCATCGTCAGCAAACATTGAGAGGAATGAGTCTATACCCTCCGGGAGATCGTTCACGTATATCAGAAACAGGATTGGGCCGAGTACAGAGCCCTGTGGGACTCCACTGGTGACTTCACGCCAATCTGAGGTCTCACCCCTCACTGTAACTCTTTGCTTCCTATTGCTTAGGTATTCCCGTATCCACTGGAGCACTTTACCAGTTACTCCTGCCTGTTTCTCCAGCTTATGTCCCAGCCTCTTATGGGGGACTGTATCAAAGGCTTTCCGACAGTCCAAGAAAAGGCAGTCTGCCCAGCCTTCTCTTTCTTGCTTAATCTTTGTCACCTGATCGTAGAATTCTGTTAAGCCAGTAAGGCAAGATTTACCCTCCCTGAACCCATGTTGGCGATTTGTCGCCAACATGGGTTGGAAACAAATCTAGTAACACATCTGGAGTCCCTTCTCTCCAGATGTGTTACTAGATTTTTTCTCACGATCTTCTCCATCACTTTGCATGGTATACAAGTTAAGGACACTGCCCTGTAGTTCAGTGCCTCTTGTCTGTCACCCTTCTTGTATATTGGGACCACATTAGCCGCCTTCCATATTTCTGGTAGGTCTCCCGTCTCCAGTGATCTACTATACACTATGGAGAGTGGCAAGCAGAGTGCCTCTGCACACTCTTTCAATACACATGGTGATATCCCGTCTGGACCAACAGCCTTTCTCACATCCAGATCCAACAGGTGTCTTTTGACCTTATCTCTCGTAATTTCGAACCCTTCCAAGGCTGCCTGGTTTACTGCCCCCTCTCCTAGCGCAGTGACCTCACCATGTTCTATTGTGAAGACCTCCTGGAACCTCTTGTTGAGTTCTTCACACACCTCTTTGTCATTCTCTGTATACCTGTATACAGATATATACCTTAACTTGTGGTTTGAGTTCTTCTTCAGCGGCGGGAGGCTAGTGGTGAGGCGGTATGGTGTTGACCTGGTTAATGTGAGGTGTTCTGTCTGGCCTGGAGGAGGCGTCTTCCCAGCTATTACGTTGGTGAGTTATTTTTTGTTAGTGAGATGCGTTGGTGAGTTGTTATTTTGTTGTTTGGTAGTGCCTTGGCGATGAGGTATTCGCATGAATAGTCCGCACTCAAACTTTACTATCGGAGTTCCTTCCGGGTCTTCTGGGTCTATTCGTCGTTGAAGACGAATTGTTCGTAAAAATTGAAAAATTTCGGCTTCAGTCTTGTTTAGCTTTAATGTCCAAAGAGCTTGGCAAGGATGTGGAAGGAAGAAGGATGGGGGGGTGAAATTCTTGGAAGAGGATCTGCTGGATGTGGAGAGAGGAAGCTGGAAAGTTTGGTGGCCTATCCACCATGGGTTGTCCTTGTCATGCAGCTTCTCGCAAGGCTAATCAGTAAAAGGATCAGAGTGGTGGCGGCCAAGTCCGCTGATTGGTTGGTTGGTGTGTAGGTTGGCTGGACAGCAGTCGTATTTTTTTTAATAAATTTAAATTAAATTAAAGTAATTTTTTTTATTCAGGAAAATTACATACATAGATGAAGAGTAACAAACAATGTTGGATTTATAGATAGAGCTAGTACATACAATACCTAAAGCCACTAATATGCATAGCGTTTCGGGCAAACGCTATGAAACGCACATAACACTTGTGCTATGCTATGAAACGCACATAAACGATTGGTATGTGGGCTGGGCCCCCTTGGGGGGGGGGCGGCCCTGGCCTGGTGTGGACGTCGTTGTAGCAGAGAAGTTGGGTAACACAGGGAACGTCGTTGTCTGGATGTTGAAGCTTCCCGGCTGATTGTGTGGCGGGTGCCGATTTCTTAATTTCTTCAATTCTTAAGGGGCAGTTTATGGAGACGGCTGCGTGTTGTCCCTCACAACTGAGAGAGTTTGATGGTCGACTGACAGTCTTTGAAATGATGATTTTGAGTGCAGATACTGCACTTTCCCTCTACTTGTAGGCAGGTCTTGGTGTCATGATCGTACTTATAACAATTGTAGCATTGGAGTATGAGGTAGAAGCGTTTTTTCTTGACGGCGTCTGGTATAATTGATATGTCCAGGCATCTGAAGCCGTTGTCCACTGCTTGGGTCGCTGCTGCAACCGTAGAGAATGTCACCTTCAGAACAGGCCGTAGATTGTCGTCGTTCTTAATGACTCTAACTCTGACTGCAGTCAGAGGTGGGTTCCTGGTGTTGATGCTTTTACAATATGGTGTCAGGGGAGGCGATGCAGACGCTGATGCGGTTGACAAAAATAGTTCTTTATCAGCCAGGTAGACACGATGATCAGGTCGGCGTTTCGTAGGGCGTCCTGGTGTTCTGGAGCAAACAGTTGTTCCAGAGCTTCCTCGCTTGAGCAAAGGAGTTCTGCACCGACGCCGTCGGGGCGGATGTCCACTTTGCGGGCTCACCATAGCCCGTGCTACATGGATATTTCGTTCTGAGTAGCTAAATCTAAAACAAAAACAGAATATCCACTGGTGCTGCATTGGTGATGTCGACTATTTTCGACAGTATCTGGGGGCCTGATGAAGCTGGTTTCCTCCTGAAACCAGACTTTGATGCGATAAATCATGCCGAAGTATCTCTTTATGACTTACACATCACTGGAGATGATCTACCGTCTCTGCTCGGTATAATGCACCAAGTTATTCATGTATTCATAAATGTTATAGATTTATAATTGGGAAAGTGTACATAAATAAATACTAATTACATACACCACTCAAATTGTGGGTTAAATATTGTTCAACTTATTTATGTGAATACAAGTTTGACTTGTACTAATGTACACCTGTGCAGTCCAGCCAGAATACTCTCTGGTTGTATTAATACTCTCTCTTATGTAGTCAAAATACAAGATACTGTTCAGAATGCCAGTGAGAATTGCGTAATGATTTCTTTGTATTGCAAGTTGTAACGAGTTATCAGGCTATTATAATGTTGTGCTATATAGTACACTCTGCTGACCTCTCTATAATTGTGTGTCGAGTACTTTTTGAATTATAGAGGCTATAATGTGAACCTAAGACCAATACATAATGAGTATTATGAAAGTTTCGTGTGTTGTATGAGTATTATGCTTGTTGTGTGATTATTACGAAAACATTATATGAGTGTTGCATGAGTTTTATGAGCGTTGTATGCATATTATGAGCGTTGAATGAGTATTGTAAGAGTATTCTATGTGGTGCATGAGTATTATGAACGTGGTATTAGTATTGCGAGAGCATTCTAAGTGTTGCACGAGTATTATGAGTATTGCACGAGTATTATGAGTGTGGTACGAGTATTATGAGTGTGGTACGAGTATTATGAGTGTGGTACGAGTATAATGAGTGTGGTATGAGTATTATGAGAGAGAGGAGTGTGGCGGCGGGGTTTAAGCTTGGCGGCGGGCCTCATGACTCAGGCGCGATGGCAACTAGTTCTCACTCCGGCCACCTGTCCTTCTGCCTCTAGTTGACCTCCCGTTGCCTGACACCCGGCTGCCTCGCCTGCAAGTACCCGCACGGGTGCCAGGGCGTGGCCAGGGCGCCGGCCCGCGCCCTGCGAGCCACATCTCCCACCAACCCACATGACCGCAAATCCCCCGCACATCGGCTCCAGCGGGCACCTCTAACTGGCACGGCGATACCTATGTTATGGCGGCATGTCTCGCCCCGCACGGCCCTCCCGCCGCTCATTAAAGTCTTAACGTAGAGGGCGAGGCCGTGGTGGAGGCAGGGGTGTGCCGGGCGAGGGAGGAATCGGGCGAGAAGTGGTGTGGTCGGGCCGGGGCGACCAAACATGGCGGTGCGGGGCCGAGCGAGCCTGTGCACTAAGGCGCCGCTCACCATTATTGTTGCGCCGCCGCCATTCCTCCACCCGAGAATAACGCGATAACCCCACACCTACATGTCCGCCACGCCTCTCGCCGCTCCCATCTGGCCCCGAGGCTAGCTCCCCCAGCATCTAGGTGACATAAAATGCTACAAGACCAGGTAAATATGCGGCCAGGACGGCGAATTGTCCACAATATCCCGACTTGAAAGATCGGCTCCGCCAACGCAGTTGGCTTATTTTGCAGCCTATTTTTCTGGGGTGTGAGGGCCCCAGGGCCCCAGGCTGGCCCCGGGCCCCGCATCCTGCACCCTCACGGGTCCCGGGCAACTGCTTTTCATGGGTGTGAGGAATATGGAAGAGGGAGAAATAATGGGTGAAGGAAAGTCAACATTGCAGGTGCTGTGAGGTAAACAAGGGGGGGGCGGGTTGCCATGGCGACGACCCCCATCTGGTCGCCCCAGAGAGGGGGGAGGGGGGGGGTATATGGACTGATGTGACCCTGTGTGACCTGTGACCCCGGGGCAGGGGAGGGGGGTTGTGGGACAGGGGGAGGGAAGGACTGGAAGGGTGGCATCTTGGGGGAGGCACTTACAGGTGAAGGCACTTGTGGCTCACACTTAACCCAATGACTGATTCTCTGGCCTTACAAGTCACACTTTTAAGTCAAGAACTTGTGCTGGTGAAGTGTAGGAGGACTCTTACCTTGACTTAAAACTGCCAGGTTACATGGCCTAGCCACATGTGCACATGTGGCCACAGTCTTGCTAACTGGGAGCACATGTTTTAAGTATGTGTTAACCTCAATATTTTGTGCTTTTAAATTTTGTATAGTATACAGAGCGCTTCTATTCATTAGCCAGTGTTTAAAAGACAAGTATATTGTATTTGCAGGAAGTCTCACACAAGATAGGGCAAACTTATTCAATTTAGGCCCAAATATCATTATGCAGTATTTATATAAGCCTTTAGGCTAGGCTACAATAATTTCCATATAACATTAACTTAAAAATATGGACTTGGCTCCAAAAGAAACGTTTTAATTGAGGCTTTGAAATATACCATCCATGTGGTGAGTTTACTGCTCGCTGGGATCAATATATACGTAGACGGACGCCCAATCGCTGCATGACGAAATGGCGCGTCTCGGTGCCTCGTTGGTGCTGTATTACAGGTTGTCGAGCAAATTAGGATCACGTGGCACCACTTTAAAAGCTCGAGAACCTGTGTGTATTTCTGCACCTTTGTTTTTTTTTTTTGAGGCCTTTTATGTAGAAGGCTTCACAGCTTTCCTCTGGAGGATTGCTTCATGGCCTTCCACAGGAGGATTGCTTCATGGCCTTCTTCAGGAGGATTGCTTCATGGCCTTCCTCTGGAGGATTGCTTCATGGCCTTCCACAGGAGGATTGCTTCATGGCCTTCTTCAGGAGGATTGCTTCATGGCCTTCCTCAGGAGGATTGCTTCATGGTCTTCCTCAGGAGGATTGCTTCATGGCCTTCCTCAGGAGGATTGCTTCATGGCCTTCCTCAGGAGGATTGCTTCATGGCCTTCTTCAGGAGGATTGCTTCATGGCCTTCCACAGGAGGATTGCTTCATGGCCTTCCTCAGGAGGATTATTTCATAGCCTTCCTCAGGAGGATTATTATTTCATGGCCTTCCTCAGGAGGAGGATTATTACTCCATGACCTTCCTTGGGAGAATTACTTCACAACTTTCCTCAGAAGAGTTACTTTATATCCTTCCTAAGGTTTTCAAGGAACACCTGAATGTTCGTTGAAGAATTTAGTCGAGGATTTACAAATACATGTCAGTGATGAATGTTCCACCTACTTGCCCCATTGAGCAAGACGATCAAAATGTTGAAAATGGATTTAATACACCACTGTACGTAGTTATATACAAATGTGAAATAAAAATATATTAACATGAAAACTGGAGCATTAAGACACTCGGGACTTGTACAAGCTGAGTGTGCAGCAGACCACCATGTGTGTTGTGTTGTGTTGTGTTGTTGTGTTGTGTTGTGTTGTGCGTGCATACTCGCCTAGTTGTGCTTGCTATATATATCAAGATAAGCTCCTGCAGGAAGTGGTGGACTGGCTGGGTTGCAATGGATATATGGGCCCGTGGGACTCGTAAAACAACCTTTGAGGTCAGGTATTCACAAGACCAGTCTGCTCCCAGACTGGTCTTTGTGAGTAGGAGGACAGTAGGGACCCACCACAGATATGGCTCCACATGTGGTATTAAGATCGGGTCAAGTCTGGCCTCGAGCCGGGCTTGGGGAGTAGAACAACTCCCAGAATCCCATCACGCAGGTATATTGTACTGTATATTTTTGATGTTTATATTAATGACTCAAAAAAAAAAAAAGGATTTTTCACTTATTTTTTTTTATTTTTTCTTGCTATTGACAACATAAATATTTTGTTATACAGCACTTAGTGAAGAAATTACCTACAGTATTTTTCTTATTAGATATTCACTAATCTTGACCCTTTTGTTGCTGTGAAAGGGTTAAAGTTAGTTCATTATATAGTGAAACAATATATTTTGGTGTAAAGGAAACTCTCAATGGGTATGCTATGAACATACAGTACTTAAAACACTAATTAAAAAAAACTAGAAACTTTTAAAAACCAAAACCAACATTGTAAAATATTCTGTCAATTATGTTTATTGAATGTGTGTTTTGTATATAATGTATAATGATATTTTATGTCTAACACATATGGCTTGATATTGATTTTCTTGGACCATATTTTGTTTTATATTACGGAGATTCAAAACTGTTTTTGTTAGTATTTATAATTATATAACCAATTTTCTTAGTCTAAATAAAATGTCAAACAAAATAATAAACTTTGCACCAGTTTTTCTAATCTTGACCCTTTTGCTGCTGTGAAAGGGTTCAAATTAGTTCATTATATACAGTGAAACAATTTATTCTGGTGTAAAGCAAATTCTTAATGGGTATGCTATGAACATACAGTAGTTAAAACACTAATTCAAAACTAAAAACTTGTAAAAACACACCTTAATTCCATTGACTTGTTGGTATGTAAACTGCATTCAACTAATAAATTTATAAATTTTCACATTGTAGTTAAGCAGACCATACGAAAACCCACTACAGAATGGTTAGTCTGTTGTGTTTCTGTGGAACGTTGGGTATGTACTGTGTTGAGAAAGAACAGGGCCAGCTTGAGGGCTTTATACTGAGTAGTCAGTGGTACCAAGAAGCTTACAAAACCTTGAGTAACAAGATTTTGTACCATTGAGGGCAATATTTTGCTAAACAACTTGTTGGGTGCAATTGTTTATCAGAGAGGATAGAAATGTTTGAACGTTCATTGAAGACCCAGTCGAAATAAAGATGTTATAGATGGCATTATATCATCGGATGGAATGTCTGACACATGAACAGATATTTATACAGTGTTATGTTTTATGTTTAAGATTAGCTTTCTTAACCACTTTCTCAACCATTACAGAAGTGATATTATGCAGTTGTTTAACAATACTAGAGAAGGGAGGTCACAAGTCTCATTAATGGCTGGTGTGAGGTTTGCCTGTATTTCTTCAGCTCTGTTCATGCCCCTTATACAAGAACAGAACAGTTTTCTTTAAAGATCTTCAATTGAAGACCAGAAGTATCCTCCACTATGTTCGTAGCTCCCATTTATACTTTTGTTAATTTTAAGATTCCTAAACCATAACTTCAAATGTTTCACTGTGTGCGCTAATTTGAATACATCCTGTACTTGAATTATTTAAATGTGTTACTGCATATTGGGTAAAGTCTGGTATCTGGCCTGTTTGGTATCCATCCCTGTACCAGAAATAACCATGGTACCTGCACCAGTGGATAGAACACACAGATGCCAGGAACTCTTCACATATGCTCTAATAACAAATGCTAGAACATAAAATGTATATAAAGAGAATTATGATAAAAATTAGAAGGATTTATTATCTACGAATGAATGTTTCTGAGTTCATAAAGTTTTGATATATTTTTGTTCTATTTTCAAACAGATTTGCAGTCCTTAAACTGTAGGATGACATTAAGGTAGACACCTAGCTAAAAAATCAATATTAGTTATTCACATGTCACATTAATAATTCTAAGGAATTTTTCTTGGTACCATATTCCTTCCCTGGTAGAATGAATGCTTGAGGGACAAATATTAATAAACATAAGAAATTGTGAAAGTGTTGTAAGTAAGGAAAGTTTGATGCATTTGGTTTATGCAAGACAATTGAGACAAGTTAGTCATAAGTGGAATGGAGTCGATTTTATAAGAGTGGGAGTGAGAAACAAATGAGAGGAATTAGGAAGGAGTATACATACTCCTGATAATTGAGTATTCATACTCCAATGAATGAGGGTAGGTTATGCTTCTGAAGCATTGAATTACTTTAACAATTTAAGGGGCATGTGTGAGAAATTCATGTTGGGGAAAGGTAGGCTAAAGATGGCAGTTATGAGTTTAAGTGTTCTGTGTGATGATGTAAATGATAAGAGAGTTTTTTAGGTAATTTTGTGAATGAGACGATATAATACGTACATACCAAGGAATTACTGAATAATTGTAATAGGTAGTTTAAATATAAGAATGGGAATAGGCTCCAAGAATGACTTGGGTGTAAATAGTGTCATGTAAAAACAACTATTGCTATAGATTGAACAATTTATGTATTAAAACTCGGCTTTGTATTTCAAATTACATGTTGGGCATGTAGATATACAAAAATTAATGTTTAGGGAGAGAATTGCATCAAAGTTTGGGCCAGCAGTAAGAGGAACATCTGGAGGGTTGTCTGCTTACAATGTGGTGGTATGTGAGATAAGATTAATAATGAAAGGATTATCTAGCCTTACAAGAATCCAAGAGGTGAAAAAAATACAAATTAAGAAGTTGAGTAATAGATAACTGGTAGATTAGTACCCTGGTGGCATGTGATATGTATACTAAGAATGTTTAAGGATACCTAGGAAGTGTGTGACATTGTATAAATTTGTTGAAAGGAATTGCTTGGTGTTGTATGGAAGTGGCAAGAGCCGTTGATGAGGAAAAAATAGGTGATCGATAGAGAAAGGCAAGAAACAATGAAATCAATAAGTATATGAAAGATTAAAAAAAATAGAGAGAGCAAATGAAGAGATTAGGATATTATTTAAGAAAAATTGTTCAGAAAACAGGAAGTTCCTTTTGGGAAGATACCAGTGGTGGGGGTGGGGGGGGGGGGGATAAGTAGATCTAGTGTTATTGAAAAGTCAACTCTTAACACCATGATATACTCTCCCTCTCTCATTGTTACCCCATTCTTACATACATGCTCTGATATTGATGCTGTTGATGAACCCTCACTCCATAAACCTTTTATCATCTTCCACAAGCACTCGTGATCAACCAAGTCATAAAGTTTTCATACATTTATAAAAGCAGCATTCAACTTTCCTCTGCAAGAAGCTATTCAATAACCATTCTCACATTATAAGTCTGATGTGAATAACCCCACTTCCTTCTTACACTTGACCCGGTTTTGTCTCCGATTCTCTGTGTGCACTGTTGCATGCATTTGCCATTAGGATGCTAAGTAAACTTATCCCCCAATAGGTCCCAAGAGTTTGACTGCTATCCTTTATATATAGGGACGACAATAGCTTTAGTCCAGTCATCAACACTTGCCCTCCTGCCATGTTTACTATCACCTAACCCAGGCATTCTCAACAGAGTGCGATATCAACCTCCTCTAGGGCATACCATTGAAATAATTCTGGCTTGTACATAAGATAAACATAGAGATTTCGTTGACAACTGAAAGGAGATGATTTCTGTCTTTGCTTTTGATGCTGGTTAATAACAATTAAATGCAAAAATGGCACAAAAATACATTTACATATGATTAGAAATAGCCTATTTATCTTTCTTGCAGAAGCCCTAGTTATAATGGTGATGATGATAATAAAAATAATAATAATTTATTTAGGAACAGTACATACATAGTTGCAGCGTTACAGTACAAACATTGTTAGATTTAAAGATAGAGGTAGTACATACAATACCTAAAGCCACTAGTATGCATAGCGTTTCGGGCAAACGCTATGAATAGATAGATACCTTTTTGATATTTGTTCTGTTTTTCAAAATTCTTCTTTTTTTTTTTCATTTTTTGTTTTTTTTTTTTCATTTTTTTTTATAAGAAACATGGAGCAGCCTACCTGACAAACACTGAACGAACCTTTTGCTATACAAAAAATGAAAACAAAATTGAACAAATTTGAAGAAAAAAATGTCATAAAGGTTTGTTCAGTGTATGTAATGGCTGCTCCATTATTTAAAACATCGAATATCATATTGATGTTTTTCGGTGGTAGAATGGACTAATTTGATTTCTATTATTGTCAGTGGGGATATTCGTTTTGTATGACGTCCATTTCACATGACGATCACGGCGCCGGAACAGATTAAATTCGTTATTCGAGGGTCTACTGTATTGCTATTCAAAATCCTAGAAGTGAGCATTGTAACATTGAATATGTTTATTCCACACCTAAGTTGTGGTATATTCTCCAGCTCAAATGATTTTCTTTGAATTCTTTTTCTCTCCCTTTTTAAAAAAGTTGGTCAATGAACGAGACCCATAGTGGTACTGTAGTGCATTTTTCCAGACCTTATGCTTAGGGTATTTCCTTGTTCAATCATTTTTTTAAAAGGAACAGAGAGATACACACAGAAATCACAATAGTGTGCTATATCAAATTGTGTGAAACCCCGGCTTGTGCTTCAGAGAAGCTGCAGAATCCTCGTGAGAGCAGTAGCACTCCGGGTTGCAATTCTTTTACCATGTCTTGACGCAGTTGTCTAAGTTGCGTCTGGGATCATCCCGGACTTAGGTTCGAACCCTCATCACGGCCCTTGTGGATTTGTTCATTGAAGAAAGATATATTATGAGAAAATACTGTATTAGTTCAGAAGGGGCTTTGAGTGGTGAATTCAACAATGATGGGTAAACTTATGCTTATCCTAGGCATGTGAAATATGTAAATGAATGTGCCGTTAGTCATTGAACTTGGAGTATTTTGCGTGTCTGTAGGTCGAGCATCTATGTAAATATACACAAGGGACATAAATAGATCACTAAGCCATGTTACTCTTGAGTTTGTTGGATACTGTCTTGATTTTTAGTTAGTTGTAAACAGTGGGTGATAGGTATACAGGTATCTCTTTGGATATGTATATCTTATCTTTACACAGCTCTTGTCCAGTAATTGGAGTTTTCAAGGTAACAACCAACACGATGCCTTTCTCTTCCTCCTCCTCCTTGCTGTAGATGTAAGCCTTGAGGGTGTATTGCTTGTATACAATAGTCGGACATGGTGACAATATGATGACAACTACCATGGTGCCTCTGCATCCCTCCTTCCCTTCTACCAAAATGCAGGCATTGGGAATGTGGAAATACTCCTGAATGAAGAAAAATAAAGCCACGTTATCTTTTTGGCTAATGTATTGATCACTGCATTACAATGCTTTGGAAGTTGTTGTTTCTGCTCAACTTTCCAACATTGATTCAGCTGAATTACTTGAGATTTTGTACACACACATACCTTGGGGTCATATGTTTTTAATGCTTTGAATGAAAGCCGTGAAAATAATGTATTTATTTTGGCTTTTGTTTTGGCCTTTGTAGCTTTATAGTAATTTTTTTACTTCATTTTTACAGGAGGACGAGGTCTTTGTTAATGGTCATTATCTCAACAAACCAAAAGAATTACGTTAAATTTGGTACAGATATGCCTTAGCATCATGCAGTTTGGTATGTTGTCAGACTTTGTAGCTTCTTTGGTGGCAGTAATGCAAAATTATTTTTCCCATATTATTTGAAGGAGTCATTTCAGTCAGCCTCTCAACAATATTAAAATATTTCACATTTGGTACACATGGCCATGGAATCATTCAATTTATTGTACTCATTGTGCTCTTTTTATATGCGAGGTGAGAGTGATTTTGAAACAAACTGTGAGCAGTAATATGGGGAGTACAGGATACAGTACAAGGAATGCAATGTAGGATTAAGTGTGTCGTGTATCATGGACCGTGTGAGTGGAGACGGAAAAGTGAATGTGGTAGTGGAGAGGAAACTGAATTCTGTAGACAATTAGTGTGACTGAGAAAAGATAAAAAGTGGTTAATCAGTTTCAGTATCTGGGATGTGTTATTAGGAAAAAAAATTGTGTGGTAGAAGTTGAGAGTTGCACGAGTAAGGGATTGAAAGCAGCTGGTGCAATGCAAGCCTTTGTTAGAAAGTCAAATAGGGAGAAGGCCCGAGGAGTGCTTGAAGGAGTGGTTGTGTTTGTTGTTCTCTTCTGAGGCAAGATAATGGGGTGACACAAATGTGTGAAATTATTTATTGTAAAAATATAGATGGACAGTCTTGAGCAGCATACATGGATACATGGTGCCAAGAGAATATAGTATGAATAAAAATGACGGGGGAAAGATATTGTGGAAATGTCTGTAAATATCAGTGTTGAGTAGAATAGCAAGAGTGGCTATACTCAATGAACCGATGCACTGAAGGAATTGACTCATTACGAGCGTACAGTATTCAGTTAAATTTGAGGGTACATGTAGGAGATGGCATCCAAAAAGATTATTGGGGCAAACATGCTAAGTGAGAGCAAGTTAGAGGAGATTGGATGTAAAAATTTCACAAGATATGGTAAGAGTCAAGGCTGTGTAGTAACATTTTGTGAAGAGCAAGCAACTGTATGTTTGAAAGGACAGTACTGTATATGACGGCTTGATGATACATTTACTTAACTGTATGAAGCAGTGAGTGCCGGTGTGGACAATATGCTGGAGTGTGGTGGTGCACATTGTTGTTGTTGTTGTTGATGTGTGATGGATAAGATATGGTGAATAGGTAGGTGTCTCCTTTAAATGCCTATTGCTCTCTTTTCCTATACGGCTTCCAAATTTCCTTTGGTGTAATGCCCTTCACTGCTCCCATGAAAGTGGGAAATGGTAATACCACTAATAAAGGGGATGCATTATTTTTAGTACTATATTGTAGTTACATTCCCTGCTGAGATAGCTGGTTCAACTACTATTATTTATTCCCAGAAGGGAAATACTTTATGGTGTCACCTTGTGTATTTTTTTCTGATATTTTCTGATTATTTAAATTCCTGACAGTACCTTGAGAGCATATCTTGGTATAGATTTTTAAGTTTAGTGCTTAGGTATGGTCATACCTCTAAACCATCTTTTGAAGTTGGGTAACGTAGCTTCCTGGTACATTACCGGTACAGTAGTGGTTTTTGTAAAGAATTGTGTTTTTAATTTGAGAGGAAACAGGCTTTTTGTCTCATTGTGTTGCAACAAAATAAATTTTGAGCTTCACACACAAGGAAAGGTTAGGGGCATTAAATATACCAAAACTAGAAGAAGAAAAAGAGGTGATGTGATCATTATGCACAAAGTAATAACAGGAATTGACAAAGAAGAATACTGTACTGTATTTGAAAAGTGCAACTTAAGAACAAGAGGACATAGGTTCAAACTAAAGAAACAAAGCTGACCCCCCCCCCAAAAATGAGAAAGTTCACTTTTGCAAACATAGCGGTAGATGGTTGGAAGAAGTAGTCAAGTGAGACGGTGGTGGAGGCCATATTGGATACTGGCACTTATTTCCCCGAGTGTTGACAATAAAACAACTAAAGTTATTCTTCAGCACTATCTTGCCCTTGTTAGGCTCGTTTAGATTATGCAGTTCAGTTTTGGTCACCATTCTATAGAGTGGACATAAATTGACTTAAACATGTACAAAGATGACAAAAAGTTAATCCAAGGAATTAAAAACTTACCTTATGAAAAAGAGATTACAAATTTAATTTACATTGTCTAGACAGATGATGAGTATGAGGTGATATAACAAGAAGTACTGTATCTAAGTGGATATAACAAAGAGAGATGTGAATAAGATTTTAAGTATATTTATGCAAAATGAAATACAGACCTGGATATAAATTGACCATAGTTATAAATCATAAAACAAGATCACTAGGAATAATGGGTAAAGTAGGAAGTTTGACATTTAATTTCCTGTCAAAGAGAATGTAAACTAAATTGAGTTGGAGTGCCCTGAAGGAGTGCAATGTACCTGAGGACACGGCACGTGCACCACTGTTGTGTCTCGTTCTTCTGTCACAAGGATGAGCTTCATATAAAAATCAGCAAGAAAAATACCTCTGTAGAAGACACTGAATAACTACAAGCCAGTGTAAATAAAGTCTTCAACTAGGCAGGTGAAAAGAGCTTGAGTCGTAACAGTGACAAATTTCAGATACTGTACTTAGGTATGATAACAATTAAGAAGTTAAGTGCAATGTGATACAAGACACAAAATGATCTCCTTACTGAAGGAAACAGACATGTAAAGGATCTGGAAATAATGATATCAGATGACTTAACATTTAATGAAGATAGCAAACATATTGTCAGCCATAAATATGATAGTGTGGATTACAAGAATCTTCAAATCCAGGGATTACACAACAATGATCTAGCTATTCAAATCAATTAAGCTTTATCACCTTGATTACTGGCTGGTATTTGCTTCCCCTTTCAAATCAGGAGAGATTTCTGAAACAGAGAATACAAAGAACATAAACAACATGAATAGATTCAGGCACCAAATTATTGGGACTGTTTCCAAGCTCTCAAAATGTACTTTGTAGAAAGGAGACAAGATGTATAAGGTACAAATAAGGTACTGGAAGGCAGGCTTGGGTCTTAATATGCACAACAGAGTAAAATACCGGAGCAAATGACAATTGAAAAAGCTGAATAGAACCAATGAAGGAGACATGCTTTAGACACAGAGAACACTGTTGAACATCTGAGGTCCATGTCTCTTTAATATCCTCTCAACAAATTTAAGAAACATTTCTGGGACAAAAGTGGTGACGCTCATGATTACCTGTTGGAGCAAGTAATCACAAGTTAAGCCTGGCCTCCTTACCTTACCTTGAGATGGTTTTGGGGTTTAGCATCCCCACGGCCCGGTCCTCAATCAGGTCGCCTCATTGCTGGACTGGTCAACTAGGCTGTTCGACGCAGCTGCTCGCAGCCTAACGTATGAGTCACAGCCTGGTTGATTGGGTATCCCTTGGAGGTGCTCATCAAGTTCTCTCTTGAACACTGTGACCGGTCGGCCAGTTATGCCCCTTATGTGTAGTAGAAGTGTGTTGAACAGTCTCAGGCCTCAGATGTTGATCTGATCTCGGGCCTCAGCCTCAGGCTGCACTTGGGAGACCACCACCTCAGAACCCACTCCAGGTATACTCCATCCACTTTTGTTGTTAAGTAAGGAAAAAAATTAGATGTAGTCTAGTGTTTGCGAGATCTGTGAGAAAGGCATCCAAATAGTTCTACCAAAACAAGTAATATAATAAGATCAAGACTGGTTCAATAGAAATTATGAGAGGGGCAGAGAACAAAAGACGACAAAATGGATTCAGTATAGGAAGTGACCAAATTCAGAAACATTGAAGTACTGTACTACAAACAAGAAACCAAGAAAAAACTTCACAGTACAGTACTGTAGTGGGAAGAGAGACAAGAAGAATCATTGAAAAGGGCATAGTAGACAAATATAAAACAGGACCTGCTCTATTTTATAAATTCAGAAAAAAGCAAATTGTAAGTCAAAGATAAAATCTAAAGCTTTCAAATGGGAGATGACTAGCAGAGACTGAAAAGGAAATGTGTGACACACTAAATAAACGGTTTGAAAGTGTGATCGTGCAGGATGAAATTTTCAGCAAACCGGCCTCAATATTGACTTTCAAATTTTCAAATGTAAATTAGAGTACAGTACTGTATATAATAGTCTAGAGAAGAAATAGAAAACTGCTCAGGAAGCTAGACAGAAATAAAGCAACTGTACCAGATTAAGTCTCGTCTTGGGTACTAAGGGAATGTGTATCTGAGATTAGTGCCTCACTACAGATAATCTTCCAAACATCCTTACAAACAGGAAGCTTAGTTGACAAATGGGAAAAGGCAAACACTGTTTCAGTCTCTATAAATGAAAGCAGGGAAGACCCACTAAACTGTTGACTTACATCATCGACAAGTGAGGTAATATATGCACTAGAACAAATTATTAAAAGCAAATGGACAGAATACCTGGAAAGTAATGACAATATCAGGCTCACAGTTTGGTTTTGTACAGGAAGGTCTCACTCTCACTCTCTCACACTCACTCTCACACGACGACGTGTGAGACACCACGAGGGTTGGGGAGATGGGACACCACGAGCGTAGCTCTCATCCTGTAACTACACTTAGGTAATTACACTCACACTCACTCACACTCACTCACACTCACTCACACTCACTCACACTCACTCTCACTCACTCTCACTCACTCTCACTCACTCTCACTCACTCTCACTCTCACTCACTCACTCACTCTCACTCACTCACTCTCACTCACTCTCTCACTCACTCACTCTCACTCACTCTCACTCACTCTCACTCACTCTCACTCACTCTCACTCACTCTCACTCACTCTCACTCACTCTCACTCACTCACTCACTCACTCACTCACTCACTCACTCACTCTATATATATATATATATATATATATATATATATATATATATATATATATATATATATATATATATATAATATATATATCAAGAGATAAACAGTAATAATTTCTTTGAATGCTCTTTATTTCCTTCTCTGAGGCTATGGGTTCCCAGGAATGTGTTGTATCCTAAGTAACTGATTTTAAGTCAGCTATACATAACTGGAGCAGATTTTCCATAGGCACAATGCTTTAAATGGGAGATTAGTTCTCAAAGTATCAAAAAGCAAGCAAAAATACAAAACCAAAACTCGACCACACCAAGGTGTGTTCAGGGTGCTACCAAAGGACCCACCAGAAAGAAGTGTTTCATTACATTCTACACTGGTGTTCTGGGAGGGCTCCATTGTTGCCTCCTTGTTGTTAACTCATCACAGAGAACAAGAGCTCCACACCGGGAAAATGCCCGGTGTGGAGGAAAGGAAGGAAGGAAGGGAACTATCGGGGGAAAAGCACCAAGCCATTAAAACTATATAGCACTTGGAACAGATCAGGATAAGGATTTGGAATGGGACAGGGAGAAGGAATGGTGCCCAACCACTTGAACAGTAGGGGATTGAACGCCGACCTGCATGAAGCGAGACTGTTGCTCCATCATCCAGCCCAAGTAGTTGGAGGAAAGGAGAAGACCAAAAACCCCTAGAGGATGGCACAGGAAATGCTGTGGATTTGTGAAGAGATGAAGTGGAAAATATGCTGAAGGAGCTCAGTAAGAACAAAGCAGCTGGCTCAGATGGCATTTCACCATGGGTTCTGAGAGAATGTGCATCTGAGCTCAGCATTCCACTTCACCTGATCTTTCAGGCATCCCTGTGTACAGGAATCGTAGCAGACGTGTGGAAACAGGCTAACATAGTTCCAATCTACAAAAGTGGCAGCAGGGAAGACCCCCTCAATTATAGACCTGTATCATTGACAAGTGTAATAGTGAAAGTATTGGAAAAACTAATCAAAACTAAATGGGTAGAACACCTGGAGAGAAATGATATAATATCAGACAGACAGTATGGTTTTCGATCTGGAAGATCCTGTGTATCGAATTTACTCGGTTTCTATGATCGAGCCACAGAGATATTACAGGAAAGAGATGGTTGGGTTGACTGCATCTATCTGGACCTAAAAAAGGCTTTTGACAGAGTTCCACATAAGAGGTTGTTCTGGAAACTGGAAAATATTGGAGGGGTGACAGGTAAGCTTCTAACATGAATGAAAAATTTTCTGACTGATAGAAAAATGAGGGCAGTAATCAGAGGCAATGTATCGGACTGGAGAAATGTCACAAGTGGAGTACCACAGGGTTCAGTTCTTGCACCAGTGATGTTTATTGTCTATATAAATGATCTACCAGTTGGTATACAGAATTATATGAACATGTTTGCTGATGATGCTAAGATAATAGGAAGGA